GATCATAGAATAAAAATCTGTACTAAAATTACCCATCAAGGGGTCTCCCAGGCTCTGCTTAGTGGCCTCCAAGGAGAGGGAATCCACTACCTCTTAAAGCTGCCTCTTCCACTTTTGGACATGGGGACTTGGGGACCCCCTAATTGTTAGGGAGTTTTCCTTGTCATCTCACCTAGATGGGTCTATTCTCAAGGCCAAATACAATCCAATTCCACAAAAAAAAAAGCAAAACTGCTGGATGTTGGATCAAATATCATGGGTTTGAAAAAACAAAACCATCTGATCCCTTCTTCACAGCCCCCTAATACTGAACACAATTCTGACCTGTCTTCTCTTCTCCAGGCAAAGCCTCTCCGGCACCTCCCTTTCACCATCTGAACAGCCCCTCACTCATGGAGGTCCTTCCTAAAATGCATAGCAGAGTGCCTGGCACACAACAAATGCTCATTGGTTTGACTTCCTACAATGTGGCATCCAGAAGTGCCCACAGACTTGCAAATGGTTCTGACCAGGGCAGGAGACTGAAGGGCTGCCCACTTAGTATGGGGACAATAAGGGTGCTCCCTTCAGAGTGAGGGTCAAATAGGGTGTCCAGCACATGGCAGCCCTTAATGAATAATGGCAATGAGGACTATGGCAAACTAGGCCCCTCTTCATGGAGCCCATGGCTGTCCTGTCATGCTATTGGTTCATCTTGCTGTCAGAGTCCACTACAAAATTTTTTCTTTAAAAAACAAATTTTAGATGAATTACCGTGTAACCCTAATTCCTCCCTATATTGTATTTATGACTTTGAATTCTAGAACCCAAGTGTGTTTCATTAATCTCTATTCAATTTCATCAGATTATCTTCAGTTCAATGCCTTCACCTGTGATGTTTTTTTTTTCCTCTAATGTGTTCACCATCCCACCCAGCTACAGATTTAAGGAGCATGCCATCTCTACCTTTGTCCAAGCAACTGATTAAAAATGTTAACCCACCAGGGGCCAAGTCCATATCCCTGAGCCAGTCCAAAGGACACCTCCTTCCCAATCCACAAAAAAAAAAAAAAAAAAAAAAAACCAATCAGTGACTATACTCTGCTTCTGTCCATTCCACTAGTGCTGAATTCATCAAAGCGTAGTCTTGCCTAGTCCCCATCTCTAAATCTAACATAACATGTAATAGTTTATCACACACTTGGCTAAAATCTAGGTTAACTGTAAAGACAGGCTTCTCTGACCTACCAGTTTAGTAGCCTGTCCAAAAAGAAAAAGAAAGTGAGTTTGCTCAGGCACAACCCGCTCTTCAGGAAGCCAGGCTCACTCTTTATAATCACTCCCTCCCTTTCCTAGAAGCTTGATAACTGTCTTGGGACCATTTCCAGCCATCCTGATCCACATCTGGCCACTGGACCCAGATGGTTCCAGAGGAGACAGTGAGACTGGTGACTTTGTACAGCCCTGCCTCAATCAAATCCAATTCACTCGCATGTCATGGGCCTCTTCAAGAACAAAGGACAGATAACAACAGCTAACTATCCCTAGTGATCTGCTGGGGAATTCTCCCAGGAATTGAAGTCGAGCTCACTGAACTAATAGTTTTCAAAATCTATTATCATCTCCTTTTAATTTTTGTCTTACATTGAGGACATTTGACCTTCTCTAGTCCTACGGTTAAGGGCAGCTAGGTGGCACAGTCAGGAGGACCTGAGTTCAAATCCAGCCTCAGAAACTTCCTAGCTATGTGGCTCTGGGCAAGTCATTTAACCTTCTGTGCCTCAGTTTCCTCATCTGTAAAATGAGCTGGAGAAGAAAATGGCAAAGCACTCCAGTATTTTTGCCAAGAAAACTCCAGGTCAGGTCACAAAGCATCAGACACAACTGAAACAAAACACCAACAACAACTGTGTGAAGCACTAAGGATACAGAAAGAGGCACAGGACAGTCTCTGCCCTCAAGAGCTTACAATCTAATGGGGGGGAGACAACAAGGAAATACATACAAAGTAAGCTGTATACGGGATAAATAGGAAATGACTAACAGAGGGAAGATGCTAGGATTAAGACGGGTTAGGGAAGGCTTCCAGTAACAAATGGGACTTTAGTTGGGATTTAAAAGAAATCAGAAAGATCAGTAGTCAGGGCAGAGGAGGGAGAAGACGCCAATCATGGAGACAGCTGTAAAAAATGCTGGGAATCAGAGATGGATGGAAGAGCATGTATCAGGGAGTAGGAAAAGTAGGAGGGGGCCAGATTTGAAGAACTCTGAAGACCAAGCAGCATTTCCTATTTGCTCCTGGAGGCAACAGAGAGCCACTGGAGTTTACTGAGCAGAGGAGTGACTAGGATCTCTTTGTTTACGCTGGGTACTTACCGCCTATTAGCCCTGTCTGTTCTGTCTTTTCCAACACAAAGGTCATTCTCCTTGAGTGAGAAAACAAAGGCAAAATAAGGAAGGAAGATCTCTGCCTTGTCCCTCTTGTCAGTTGTCCTCATCCCAAGCATTGGAAGCAAAGGTCCTGGGCCTTCTTTGATCCTGCCCTTGCCCCAATAGCACTAAAAAAAAAAAAAATACCCCAACCCTCTGAGTTGTTCTTCCTTTTGGCCACTGCCGCAGCATATCACAAATCTTAGCCCTCTGGATGCAGCTTTGTGGGATCCTACCATACTCTTATACCTATCCTCTGTGCCAGCCATGGTTTCCAGGGTATGTACCTTTCTTTTTCAATTTTAAGTTTGTTGCTGAGTTTCCAGCACATCCACATCAGTCCCTTTGGATGGCATCATCAGAATTGTTTCTCTGTGCATTCTCAGAATTTCACTATTGACCATCTCCCATCCCATCTGCGCTGACTTTTACTATAACATTTTAGGCCATGGGATCCTGCCTCCTTTTCCTCTGGAATGAAATCCACTTTTGAAAAATCAAGATCACAAAAAAAAAAAGAAAAAGAAAAAAATCAGAATCACAAGTCGGACTACCTTAGACTGCCTCTCCTTATCACAAGCTCTACAGTTAGTAGCAAACAGATCCATCCAGAATTTCCCCACCTCTGTCCATTGAATGATAAAGTGATGCCTCCTGAGGCAGCTCAGTAGCTCGGTGGATTGAGTGCTGGAGCTAGGGTCAAGAAGACCTGAATTCAAGGTCTGTCTCTAACACTCGCAAACTTCAGGACTCTGGACAAGCCACTTAAGCCCTGTCTGTCTCAGTTTCCTCATTTATAAAATGGGGAGCATCTACATCCCATGGTTGTGGTAAGGATCAAATGAGATGATATTTGTCAGATGCTTTGTGAGTCTTAAAGAGTTCTACGAGCCTTAGCTATGAGAGTGGGAGCAGCGGAGCACATCCGCACGGTAGAAGTCCCCATGCCTCTGAGCCAGCTCCTTGGTGATCTGTTTCCTAAATCCTTTGTCTTTTCCCCTTTTTTGTGCAGGTAGTCTGTAATATATTCTTTTGACAAAATTACTTCAATTTCTCCTTCCTTCGACTTTTCACCCAAACTTCTCCATCACATTTCCCCAATCGTTTTCTTGGATTTCCTCCTGTGATTCTACCTATTTAGTATACAATCCCACCCCACCTCTCTTACTTATCCTGTTTCCAGTACACCCAGCCAGTTCTACAAACTCATCATAGGTTTTGTCCCACCAATGCTCAATAAAGTTCAATTTGCTTCCTTGCATTAATATCTCTAATGCCTTGTTTATTTCAAAGGTATTTCTTCTAACTCTAAGATCTGGTCATTGTACAATTGCTATATAACCATGGATGGGTTCCTGCTTCTGGCCTCAGTTTCCCCATATGTAAAACAAAGGAGGCATTGGACTTATGGTGTCTAATACTCATTGTGTTCTTTTCTGCATAAAAGCAGATTATGACCAAGTTTGTGAAATCATAACCATTGAAGAATGCCCAATTTTGTGTCTAGGGGTTCTGATTTCCAGGGGGATGGAAGTGTCTGGAGTTAGTTTCTGACAACAAAAAGGCCCTTTCTTTCAGGGACCCTGAGTTGTCAGGAAAGCAGGCTGTTTGCTGTGTGACTGTGGCATTGGGGACAACATGAGGAGTGTCCGTGGGCAGTATGCTATCCCAGAGACCCTAGTATGCTATCTCCTGCCCCATCTACTTGTGAAGAAACCGACACACTTGACATCATTTCAATTCCTAATCATTTAATCCTGGGCTGTAGAAGATGAAGAGGGAACCCAAGCGGCCCCAGCCCACAACTTTGCCATGTTCCAGGCACATTTCATTTCCCAATAAATAAATTAGGGCAAAGGAGAGGAATCCCTTAAGATTTCTCCCTGCCCATATCAGGTCCCCACCTGCCTCCCCAGGGACCCTCGTCTGTAAGAACCCATCCCTATTACCACCCCCCCCATTTAGCACAGAGATATATGACACAACATATATACAAAGGGAGGGAGAGGGCATGGTCCATTGGAGGGGAGCCAGTGGTCTCCAGAATCGGAAAAAGGACACAGGACAGGGAGAAGGTGAAAAGTTTTCAGGGAGGCACTGGTAAAGGGTCCACTCCCCATGGATGGGCAGGGGTAGCAAGGAATCCACCACCACCACCACCACCACCCCCCTTGTCCAGGGAGAGAGCGTAGGAGCCCCTCCCAGGGCCCTTTGGAGCCAGAAAGGATCTACTCCCGGCCATTTAGGGGTGGGGTGGGGGTACGGGCGGAGGAGGGAGGAGAGGGGAGAGGAAGGAATCTAATCCTCAGAGACACGCAGGTATAGGAAGAGGTCTGCTCTCTGTGATCCGGCAAGTGATGCAGGTCCAAACGGGAACCGGAGTTGATTCACTGGAACCGAAAGGCCCTCTTCCTTGGAGTCAGCCAACAATCAGAAAGATCGACTCTTGGGCGCCAGGAAGGGATATGCTGTCCCTGAGACTGAGTTAAGATCCGAGGAGATCCACTCTCTAAGGTTGGGTGGATCTCTGAGCAGCTCCAAGGCGTGTGGCTGGGCCGGAGTTCAGAGCGGATCTGTTGGGGAGCCGTTACTTAGGTGGCTCCCGCACCTCCACCGCCACGGTTAGCTGGCTGCTGACGGCAGCACGTGCCCCAGGTGCGGGAGGGCAGGGCCAGGAGCAGGAAGGAGCCGCCCCCCAGGAGCAGAAGGGCAGCGGCTGCGAGGGCGCAGGCCACCGACCAGGAATACTCATAACCCAGCCAAGGGGCTGGGCCCGGCCCAGTCCTGGCCAGCAGCTCGCGGACCCCCTGACGGAACAGCTCCAGGCTCACCAGCAACAAAACTCCTGTGGGCAGAGAATAGAAAAAAGGCAGCCCAGTGCTCCACTGGGCGGCCCAGACCCCAAGGGTCCCCAGCTCCTGGCCCGCAGTCCCTGGGGACTGCAAATCTCAGAATGCAATAGTCCCTGCAGCAGGCAAGGAGTCACAAGCATTTACTGTGTGCCGGGTGCTGGGCTGAGGGCTACGCGGGCTCTAGGAACTACAACTCCCAGAGTACAACGGTCCTTGGAGATTTCTATTGCCCCTAGAGTCCGTTACGAGATACTGTCTCTGGAAACCACAACTCCCAGCATGCAACTGTGCTGAACGATGCAAATCCCCAGGTTTAGGACTGGAGGGAGTCCACTGGGCATTAGCAGTTTGGGGAGCTGGGCAGACTGGCGCCTGGGTGGACCACTCCCTACCTGAGAGGCTGAAAAAGACTGCTGCATGTGTGAGCAGGAACTCGGCCCCTTTGCTGAGCACCATGATGACACAGATGCAGCCCAGGACCGTGATAGCCAGGGCCAGTGTGGCAGTGACGGCAGCAGCTACTCCTAGCTCTGGGAGGGGAGAGGGGGGAACAGGAACGTCAGAGGACCCTCCATCAGAGCCTATCTGGGGAAGGCAAGCAGTGGGGCTGCTGGAAAGAGGAGCCTGCCACTAATTGCCCATGCAACTTTGGGGAAGTCGCTCCATCTCTATGGCATCAGTTTCTTCATCTGTAAAATGGGTGTGGAGTGGAACCAGATAACTTCTGAGGTCCCTTCAGGCTCCTTGAGGGTCCCTGAGCCAGAATCTTGGCAGGGGAGGCACCAAACCCAAGGGCTAAGAGGCCCTACCTTTCTTAGTTGTCCTCTGCAGGATCTGGTTGTTCTCCCCTGAGGTGAAGAATCGGAAGTAAGAGCAGTTTGCCTCTGTGGGAAGAAGACACAGACACTTGGGGGGATGCTGACACAGAGGGCACTTGGGGGATGCTGACACTTGGGGGATGCTGACACAGGGGGATGCTGATGTGGGGGGACACTTGGGGGGATGCTGACAAGGGGGGACACTTGGGGGATGCTGACATAGGGGGACACTTGGGGGATGCTGACATAGGGGGACACTTGGGGGGATGATGACACGGGGACACTTGGGGAATGCTGACACTGGGGACCAGACTCAAGTCAGGGAAAGGAAGAGAGGCAGATGGAAGGACAAAGGAAGAGAGGAAGCCCTGTCATTGTCATCCACGCACCCACTTCCCCTTCTGTGAAATGGGAATAATGAGCACCAGCCTCCCTGTGCTTGACAGCACAAAACAAGAAAGGTGAAAAGATAAAGAGACGGGTGCAGATGGAGGAGAGAGGAAGGGAGAGAGGGAGAGGGAAAGAGAGAGAGAGACAGAGACAAAGACGGAGAGAGGGAGAGAGAGAGAGACAGAGAGAGGGGGAGACAGAAAGAGGGAGACAGAGAGGCAGGGCAGAGAGAGAGAGACAGAAAGGAAGAGAGAGACAAGAAACAGAGACAGAGAGAGGGAGAGACAGAGAGAGAAGTCAAAAGAAGATAAGGAAAGGGAAGCAAACGGAAGAGGGGAATAGAGAAACAGACTGAGCAGAGATAAAAAGATTGAGTGAGTGTGGAAGAGGAAGGCAGAGAAGAAAAAAGGGAGCGGGAGACATACAGGGTGCGCTTACTCAGAGTCAGAGAGACATAAAGGCAGAGAAATGGACAGAGAAAGACAGAGGCACGGGGAGACACGAGTATTAGGGGGAGGCAGATAAAGGGAGAAGCAGGAAAGGAGACAGACACAGAGAGCTGGGTAATCTTGGCAGGAGGGAGACAGGGATCTCTAGGGAGCAAGAGAGAGAGGGAGAGGGAGGGAGGTGGGGCTTCCAAAGGCAACAGAAGGCGCAGGGAAGGAGTCAGGCTGGCAAGGGGGCGGTCCTTGTAGCACAGGCGCGTCCCCAACAGGGCCTAGTCTCCCCTAGGGAGGTTAGAGGTCTGGACCCTTTCCCCCCATAGCCTGGGGGTCGTGGCTCCCAGAGCTGGCTGCATCTGTGATCCCCTGGGGCGGGGCCGGACCTCACCTCCATCTCTCACCTCCCAGAGTCCATTCTCTGGTTGACAGAGACAGTTTGGGCCAAAGTCTGAGCCGCCTGGATTCCTCTCTGAGTCACAGAGGGGGGACCTCAGAGACATCCAGTCCAGCCCTGCCCCTCCCCAAGCAGCAGCATCTGCAGGGCCCGGGTCACTCCTGGTCGCGCTCCTTTGCCCTCCCTTTGCAGCAAGCAGCCTGCCGCTCCCTCATGACCCCCCCACACCCACCCCAGGAGTCCTGGCTTCTCCAAGCTCCACTCACCAGGTGCCTCCACATGCCTCATATTTCACGGATTCAAGGCCCTTCACCACCCTGGCTGCACTTTTCTGGACACTCCCCATCTACCAGTATCTTTCTCAAAGAGTGGTTCCCAGAATTGAACACGAGATCCAATGAGGGCCCAGGAAATGAGACTCTCATCTGCCTGTTCCTGGAAGCTGGGCCTGTAATAATGTAGCCCAACATCCCATTGGCTTTCTGTGCTGCCTTATCTCACGGCCACTACTGCTTCACATTAAGCTTGTGGTCCACTAAGACCCTACAGATCTTTTTTCCCCCTTTCCTTAGGTGAACTGCTGTCTAGCCTAGGCACACTACCCTCCTCTGATGCCTTCAACATTGACTTTTTTAAACTCGGGCTTAAGACTATAAAACTATCCTTATTGAATTCATCTTATTAGATTCAGCCCAACCTTCTAGTTTGGAAAGGTCTGAGCCTTCTCTGTTTTTTGATCAGACATGACCCCGACTTCTCCTGTGTCTACTAGATGGATCAGAAGTCTGAGACATCGTTGTCCACACAGGCTGCTCCCCAGTCCAGGTTCCCTCTCCATTTCTCTCTCCCTTCCCAGTGGTCAGAATTCCAGGCTACTCCCATGGCCCTCTAGGCAAGTAAGTTAATTCTGTCCATTCTCGTCCTCCAGGGCTCTCTCTCTCTGTCTCCCACAGAAGCCGAGGTCCAGGATATCGCCACAAATTCTCAAGGAAGTCGGAGGTCTGCCTAGCTCTACTTTTCTCTGAGTTGCTCTGAGGTCAGGGGTATCTCACCATCTACCCCGTCCCAGGGCAGTCCCAGGTGGGGATCATCTGTCTGTCTCCCCAGGACAGCTGTTACTCCAGGTGGCCTCCCAGTCTCCCAGACATGGTTGGCGATCAGGGATGTGTCTGCGTCTCCCAGTGCGGGTCAAAGGTCTGGTCATCTCTCCAGCTCCCCAAGTCCATAAAAGGTGTAGGCTGCCTCCACATCTCCCAGGAGCAGTACGCAATTCCAGCTCTTTTGGGAGCAATCAGACGTAGCCTGAAGATGGCTTGGGCCGGCTGGAGGGTTGGGTTCCGTGTTTGGGTTCTTCTCCCTGTATCAGTCTGTGCATCTCCCCAGGGTTTCCTCTTGTCTCAGATTTGCCCAGGAGTCCTAGGGGTCTCTGGGAGACCTTTCTCCCTCCATCTCAGTGGGGTGGTCAGTCACGTGGGCCAGTTTTCTCTCCCCAGGGTGGTCCCAGCAGGGCCATCTCTGCAGCTTCCTGGGCCAGTCAGAGGGCTGGGCCACCTTTGTACCCTTGGGCTTGGGCAGAGTTCTGGGCCTTCCCTTCATCTTTCTCAGTCTGTCTTCTTTCGCATAGTCCCTCGCACAGTCAGGGCCATTTTTATGTCTCCCCAGGGAGTCAGAGGTTGGGCCATCTCTGTGTACCCCTGGGCAGTCAAAAACCTAGACTGCCTCTACATCAACTGAGCAATCAGAGGTCTGGGTGGTCTCTGTCTTGCCCACCTCCTGCCATTACCCAAGACAGTCCAGAGTCTAGGGCTTCTCTAGGTATATCAGAGTCAGTCAGAGGCCTGGGCCATCCCCTGAAGTCTGTCCCAGCATCCAGTCTGTCTTCCTAGGGCAGTCTGAGGCCTGGGCCATCCCCTGAAGTCTGTCCCAAGGTCCAGTCTGTCT